AGCAGCCACATGTATGGCTATCCTTTGGTTGTCAAGATAATGAGGTTGTGTATGTCATTTATCATGAGTTCAAATTATATACAGACACCTACCGAGACCAGCAGGGCCGAAAATTTCTAAGCCGTTTATCATGTGAAACACATTTTGATCATGTGGCACCCACACATGATCAGAAATTTTCAACCTCCACTTCTTCAGCTCACAAATCATAATCCAACTGGAAATATTGCAAGAGCATAAGAATTTCACCGGGGAAACATGGAACTCTTATTCTTGGAGGCTCTATGGCACCAATGAGATCCAGTTCAAAGATCACAATGTTTAAGGCCAAATTTGCAAATTGTCCCCCACAATTGTCATATTGAAGTAAACTACCACACACACAAAAAAATATATATATATATTTGACGCAGTTTAACTAAAATTTTCCATTGTCAAAAATTCAACCCATTAAATTGTATAAAACTATTGCTTTTGAAGCTTAATAAAAAGTTAACAATAACGGCCAAATTTAAATTAATTTTTTAAAAATAAAAATTTTAAGTGAAAAATTACGTTAATAATTTTTTTTTGATAATTTACTTCATCACAACAATTTTGGAGAAACATGCACCAATTGCCCAATGTTTAACCCTGTTCAGATAACTGAAAGGCCTCCGTCGGTCTCTCCCTACTCAGAGTATGAAGTAAAGCACTTAAACAACCCGGCCTCTGATTTTTTATTAACATGTATTACTGAACTTGCACTCTTAAGGTCCAATCAATAAGAAAACGATTGAACAGACTGTAAAAGATTCAAAACCGAATTCCTGTCAGGCATGCTAGGAATGGCCCCCTTCACTTGAACGCAAAGAGAAGCTGCTGCCGCTGCAAAAACATTAAAGGAGTTAACGAAATATATGTGGTCCAAAAGACACAAAAAGGATTAATGAATATTGGACAGGAGAGATGTAAAGCGAAGAGAAGCAGGCATACCGGCAAACCTCAGGCATTGCTCTCTGGACTTGCCCTCTACCAGAGCCACAGCAAATGATGCTGTGAAAGTATCACCAGCTCCAGTAGTATCTAGGACTCTTTCAGCTCGAATGATAGGTTGTGTAATTGGTTTCTCTCCTTCAACAAATAAAGCTGACCCTTTCTCCCCAAGTTTAACCAGTGCTTGCTTCACACCCTGATAGTTCACAAATTCTATCATCTGTTAGCTCCTGCAAAATATTTTATTTTCACATTGGGCCTATAATAATTATGAAATGATTGTCCAGGACTGATCATCAGTAAGGAGTCTAATGACGGAACATAACTAAACAAGAATAAGTTCAAGCTACCCTGAGCTACAATAATAAGCAATAAACCATTCTTTCCATACTCTTATATGACGAGTTTGGTAGAACAGAGAGCTCAAATGTCAGCTGTCTATGAGAGTGTGCCAACGCAAAGAAACATGCAACAGTGTCTTCTCACGAACAAAACAACAAATAATTGTGCATGTTGTCGAGCACCAAGTAGAAATAATATACATATTCTGCTGTGAATGTAAAAACTAACCCAAAAATGGAATTTCTCACCATGTTTCTATGCAAGCATAGGAAAACATGTTTCACCTCAAGTACTATGTAAAATCATATAAACCTTTAGCCTCTGAGAATGAGCAAAGTTCCCTATGGTTTATATTTAGGTGTTTCATGGAACTGAGCAGTCCCAAACAAAGAGAGTGAGAGCCAACCTTGGAACAAGGTACTGTTACTTAGGAATGTCATTTTTTATGAATATTCACAAAATGCAGCAGAACAATCATGGTTCTAACTCCTAACAGATGTTCAACAAACTGTAAATTATTGCTCCCCTGAGAATTGCATGTTGCCAAACTTGTACAGGTAAAATATAACAAAAACACCTAATAAAATATTTGCCTTAGCTGTACCAAAACTCACCAATTTGTGGCATTTTGCAACAGCTTGACTAATCTGTTCAAAACTTTCTGTTGGCATTCCAGTCAAACGACCAAGTTCAGTTTCATTTGGGCTCAAAATATCAACAAAATCCAACAGTTCTTGAGGAATGGGTGCATCCATTCCACCAGCATCTAGAATTACAGGAACACCTGCACTCCTTGCAGCCTGAAGGGAATAATTGCATCAAAATATGGAGGGAATAATTTAAAATTAAAATAACAGTACCATACCTAACAAATTGGCCTATTTGCACAACCCAGAATTTCTAAAGACCAAATTCACACAAAAGACACGCACAGAGGAACACAGAGTTAGGAAAGGAGGGGAAGCTGAATACATCAGGTTTGTTTGGTATCACTTAATCATTTTCATTTACTCGCTATAAGTTTGTCCCCTTTCTTAATGATCTATGTTGGGTTATTGAACAAGCATTTTCCAGAACCAATCATTGTCCTAAGGGTGGGTGTATCTATTCTCGATTTAGTTTTCCCATTTTTTTGTTAAGTAACTTAAATCTGAAGATAACTTTTGGCAAAAAGTGTAGCATATTCTACAACTATGAGTCTAAGACTGCATTTCAAAACCATGTCAAAATCCTAAAGCATCTCTTAAATTCACCATCTGTTATTGTTGTAAACTTGCCACAACTGTCTCTTAAAATATTCTTACCAATGTATGAACAACTCTAATTGTGATGATATCAAATCATTGACACTTTCGATTGGAATATCACTAGAGTATATCAGTTTATCTACATGCTTATGCTCTTGATAACACCAACTTGTAAACCAAAGTAGTTCTATAGTTTGCACCAGTAGGGGAAACCCAGTAGTAACCCCTTATTCAGTGGGATCCTGTAGAACCCAGTATCATGTAAAATGGTAGTGAAAGATATGCATGTAAGAAAAAAATGTAAATCAAGAATTTTGAAAACCAAAACACACGACTCTTCAACAATACCTGATTTTAATGAATAACAATGCAACAGATAGGAGTATTAATGAATAATCAAATATAGCAATTTCACTGAATTAACTGACTTTGAGACAACCACTTCACAGCACATGATACAGCCATCAATGAACAAATTTCATAAACCTTTAAGTAATTTGAGTTTTTGGAATTGACGATTTTAGATTTCTATTTTATGAATTATTGGCATTGTGATCACATACATAACCCTCACTCCTCCTGGATTATGGATTAAGGCTTGCTTGAGTCAAACATACATTTTAGATTCAGGGGGAATTTCAGTCAGTCATTTGCTCTGTAATACACTCCTAAATTTATCAGCATAGAAGTATTTTAGGTACTTCAAATACCCTATGTTTATTTCCAGAGATTCAAGTGAGTCACATAATTGTTCATCGGCTAGGAATTTTCTTGCCTAGACGTTCAAGTCCTTGCACTTAAATTAATACAATAATAAAAATAATGAGTTCTCTTACCATTCCTAACCATGAATCAACAGAAACCATACCAAATACTTAAATTGATTCAAATCTCTTATAACCAAATACTTTTCACTTCGTGCCTAATAAATAGTCATTACCAAGATATGGACTCCCAACCCTTTTTGGTGGCTTCAATACTGAAATCCATGCACTTGACTTATCAATGCAATAAATTGATCATTGCACCAAGCAGTAAGATAAAAGAGGAACAAAACTAGGCAACTATCACCAAGTAATAAACTTCAAACCTAAGCCAAGCAGTTACTTTTACATATTTTGTAAACTAAACACCTAGAAATGCACAATCAAATGTGGATGAATCATAAGATTCAAAAATGAGGAAAGAAAATTGGAAATCATAATATGCTATAGTATACTACAAAAAAGAGGGACAAATAAGGAGTAATATATAATTTAGAATATGCAAATCTCCAAACCTTTGCAACTTGAATATTAACCGAATCTGGAATTTCCCTTTGAAGCAAAATAGCGCCACCATTTCTCACCACCTCCAAGTCCTCATCGGACAACCTCTCAGGCCAACAATTCATGTTGGCGCCACCTACAATGATAATGGAGTTTTGCCCATCAGACTGCAGCATCACAACGGCATGCCCCGTGGGCGCACCAGTCACATTCTTCAAATAATCCAGCCGAACACCACCACCCTTCAAGGCCTCAGTGATCAACTTCCCATTTGCATCCTCCCCCACCTGACCCACAAAATATGTCGGGTATGACAGCCTCCCCCCACATGCAGCCTGGTTGGCCCCCTTCCCTCCTGCCAGCGTCTGCCCATTTTTGGCTGAAATGGTCTCTCCCTCTTTGGGCAATCTGTCAATTTCGACATAGATGTCTGCATTGGCTGAGCCAACCACCACCAGAGGAGGCGAATCAGGCTTCTGGGTTACCGGGGTTTCAGTGGATTTGGATTGTTTTACAGAGACTGAGAGAAGTGGGTATGTTTTACTTGGGTGATTTCGGCTGCTGAATCGAAATTGGTTGGTGGGTATGATGAAGGTGGGTTGTTTGAATTGACTGTTGTTGATTTTGGTGTAGCTATTGAAATTGGCTGGTGCGGAAAGAGCTACTCCTTTCATCTTTCTTTGCCTCTGCTTTGTGAGTACGCCTATTGAATAGTTTGAGTCAACGATCGCAGGGGTGGGTTTGCCGTACTGGTTTTGCTGTTCGTCTGAGGGAATATCCCGTTCTAGTTCTAGACTCTTCTGAATTTTCACTTAACTCCTCCTTCTTTGGCTGGATCATACAACTAAGACCTACTATTTTTTTTTTTGACCTTCTATTCAATTATTTCAAATAAAGTTAGGTGTTTGTTACTTTGTTTGGCTTAATTTCTAAAGTGTTTCTCTTTTGCTGGATGCACTTGAAAGCTTAACATGATGGTAACTACCTTGAAAAACTATAATTATTTTAAAATACAAAAATATTAAAAAATACTACACATTTAATTATAATCATTAATAAAAGATAATTGATTTTAGTATTGAAGTAATTCTTCTATCCATTAATAATTATAAAGTTTGTAGTTTTAAATGGGGATCTACATGAATCCAACCTTCATGTCTAATAGTTTGATCTCAAATCTTAGTATTTGAGTTTAATTAATCAAAAATTTCACTCCACAAACTACTCAAAAAATTTTCCTTTCACCTTAATTTCTTATGTTCAAAAAAAAAAAATGGCCAGGGACACAATAGTTTGCTCTATTATCGTTATTATTATTTTGGATGGGGGCAATTTTGTAATAGTAGCTATTTCTAGATAAATTTGATACTACCATGCTAGAAGATGAGAATGAGACCGTCAAAGGATTTTCCGTACACGACGTGTCCCTAAATTATCATTTCACGGGATATAAAATTTTTTCGTGGGTCCTCCCTCATTCGACCTTTGATACTTCTTTTTTTTTTTTTTT